ATTTTATGTAATCTCCCGAAAAAGGAAAAGAAAAAAAGGAGGAAAAAAAATCCACGGCGCCTAATTCGTCGCTGAGACGTCGAACTTTTGCTTAATTTTTTGTGGCATAGATTTGATATTTTCAAGTGACGATGATCGGAGAAAGAAAAGGGAAAATCGACAAAATTAAGGGTGAGCAATCGGGCCGGTTCAACCTCGGAACCGAATCGAATCGGTCTCGCTCGACCTATTCCAGGCCGTTCCAGGAAGAACCGATCCGGTGCTCGGTTCCGTACCCTACAACCGGCCTTTAACCAGTTCGGTTCCCCGTTCTTATGATAGATCCGCCGGTTCGGCTCGGGAATTGACTCTGAGGAACTCACCCGGTCCAGTTCCAAGGTCAAATCGATCCTGTACATCTTATTTTTTAATGTAAAAAAAATAGTAACTAGCAAGTAGGGAGAATGGAACCCGTGACCTCCAACTCGAGTCGGGCGCTTTGCTAACAAGATTTTACGAGTCATGGGCTAAAAGAAACGTAATATACGATATCAAATACGTAAATTTTTACAAAACAAACCCCGAGCCATCTCGGTTTCGGGCCGGTCCCGAGTCCAGGGTAGACTTCGGGTTCCGATTTCGAAACCGACCCATTCCGAAACCGATCGCTCCCTAGAAAAGACAAGACGACAACATCACGAGATTTCCCCTGAATATTTTTGAATTTCCGCAGGAATGAACGTGCTCGTGACGAAATGGAAGGCTGAAGACACCTTTAGATGTATCCGCAAATCTGGTTTTAATTGAGAAGAAGATGAAGGTCTTTGGCCGCGTCGTTGAACGAGAGGAGGAAAATTCCACGTTTTGTAAAATTTCAATGGAGACGATCCCCCGCTCCAACACGCATCGACACGTTCCTCGAAACATCTCCAACTCATTGTTTATTGACTTATTTAATTGACTCCTAATTACTCATGAATCGAGCTGGTTAGGGATGTGCTCTGGTAGCCATCCTTTTTACTTGGGAAGGGAAAGATGGAGAGTTTGATCCCTCATTTTTTCGGGGGGACTAGGGTGGAGAAGTTTAGTTTCGAATGTGGATTTCGACGCTCACATTTTATAAAAAGACGGGATAAAAGTTTGAGAGTGAGTTGAGAGTTAAAGTAGGATAGATCCAGAAAAAAAAAAAGAATTTTTTTGACAAAATAAACGAAAAAGCAAACTTCACAAAAGAAAAGGCAAAAGGACAAAAGGAATAATAAAATACAACGACACGCCTTTTAACACTGTGGATCCATTTTAGAGGGAAATTTTAAATTGAACTTCAAACGAAAAAAAAAACTCTTAAATTATGTCCGACTATGATGAAATATTTTAGAATTTTTTTATCATAAAACCCCAACTTGTACCGATATAACAAAAATAAATCATGTCTACCCACAAAAACAAATCCTAAACTCTGCTTATCGTGATACCATTATCCCGAATTTTTTATTTCGCGTCATCAATACCCTTAATTTTCATCGGTGCGACAAAAACTCTGGTACAATTTCGGGAGTTTTAGTGACACCGAAAAGTTGGGGGCGTTGGTATCGCCATGGGCATAATTTAGAGCTTTTTGACGACACAATAAAAGATTTAGAATATTAATATCACGGTGGGTATAATTAAAGATATTTTTTTTGTGGTATTTAGAGCCTTGATCATTAATTAAAAAACAAACAAACACAGAACTACGACCGTAACTCTGATTGCTTAGACGGAAAGGAAGTGGGAGATAAAAGACAGAAAGAGGAAGGTGCAAATGGATGTTGCCGTGTCCCAAAAAGTAATCGACGCAGCTTCTCCTAATTGCCGAACTTTAGCAAAATGATGTAAATAGTCCCTAAATTTTAGCTCAATATGTAATATAGTCCATGAACTTTTGATTTATTCAATGTCATCTCTTAATTTCAAGGATAATATTGAATATTTTCATATGGTTCAAAGAATAGATTAAACAAGTACCAAAAGTTCAAGGATCACATTGAACACATTAAAAGTTCAGGGACGACATTGTTCATTGGGCTAAAGTTTATAGATCATATTAAATAAATTAAGAGTTTAGGGACTACATTACATATTAGGCCAAAATTCAAAACTTTTAATTTATTTAATGTCATCTCCGCATTTTCATAAAGCGTTGGTTCATAAGCTCCACTAAGAGAAGGAGGCGATGAATGCCCGTTATTTTAGATGGCTCTTTTTTTTTGTCGCGCGAGCTTTCTCATGGGGTCGCCCCTTTTTGAGTTAGGTTTTCCGAATACTTTATTTCTCTTAATTGCATAAAAGAAATAATTTATGAAAAGCTATGTCATCTCAAGAAATTGGTAAGTGCGCTTGGGCAAGCGCATCTTTTCATGTGTTGTTTGGACATGTACAATACCATGGGATATCTCAAGCCATGTGATCGCTTTTTTGTTTTTAATGAATCTCCCAATAATGTATGTTGTAGCTTCCCGAGGACCTTTTTTTTTTATTTATAAAAAGGGACATTAACCGATGGAAAAGAGGAAAAAAAAATTAATAATCTAAAGGGATTTTTTTTAATTTCATTTTTTGATTTTGTATTATTTGAGGGAACTTTTGAGAGAACAATGTCACGCCTTGTATCAGGATACTCACCTTGTATTGATCATGTGCCATATTACTAAATAATGAAGTGAACGATGATCGAAAATGATCGGCGAAATTACCATGTTATTCGATAAATCTCTCGTAGTTTAAATCCATTTTCTTTTTCTTAAGGCCTAAATCACCCCTTTTGGTTCTATAATTTGCTTACTGTACAGCAGTTTTCACTTTTCAATAACAAAGTAGGACTTCTTCAATGTCTCAAGAGAAAATGAAAAGAAAAGGTAAAGAAGGAGATTGGGTTTCTGCAATCTTGGCACCACATGATGAACATGAACAAGCCACACTCAGGAGCCCAAAAAGGACCAAAATTAGCAAGAGTGACAATAAAGATCTCAACCCAGAATTCATTTCTGCCCAAACACGCACCATCTAAGGAAGAAGTTATCTTTTAAGGCAGTGACAATTGAAGAACTAATGTCTCGTAGAAACAACACCGGAACTGCCGGTTCTAATCGCCTGCAGTTGCGCCCAATGATCATGAACCTACAGACGTGAGTCTTGTTTCACATGGAATTAGTACAAATGCGTTGAGATCATGCTGAGTGTTTTTCCAATATCAGACGGATGTATATGACAAAGCTAAAGCTTAAAACTCACTCGAAACCATTCTACCATTTTAATTAGAGATCACTATCAATCTTCATGAAATCGAGAGCATGTCTAGAACAACACACGGAACATCTATCAACACAACATGTTATAACATGATGAACCATCAATATAGTGACCCAATCTCTCGACGTTTTGGAGTACGTCAACTCTACATTCTAAAAGCTTAAGCCGATTGCCGTCGCGCCTCACATATATGCCAACCTATGTTGTGCTTTTTTGGCCAAAAAGCCCCCCTTATCAGATCCTTCACCGAGAGAGACTGACCATAGGAGACTCTGGGAAATCTCAGAGGTTGACCCACAACGTCGAGTAAGGTTGACCCACACCAAACAAGAGCTTGTTGAGAAAGATCCCGAATGTCCACCAATGGATGTCACTTCCAAGCCCTTTCACCTTTCATTGTTTGAGGCATTAATTTTAGGGACCCTGTTTTCATCTTCGTATCTCAAAACACCAACTTGATTTGAGATAAACCGCCATACTAAAACCAATGCATATGCATGATGAGCCAATCGTATTCTGCATGCTAAAGGTCTTCTTTTACTCAGCTCTTGCTATTCTGTCAGGGACTACAGGTTCTTGAAAATGAATTCTACCTTTTCTTTTGTCAGAGAGATAAAACATTTCTGGACCCAAATCCACAAACCTAATGTAATTATAAATTATAATTGTTGATCTGGAGAGACTCGCGTACGAGATCACATGATCAATAGATACGATATACCTCATCTAGGCAGAGTCGAGTTATGGCAATAATTTGCAATGAGAGAGAGAGAGAGCGCACCACCTTTCTTGTGTACATTACTTTTCAAATTGAAAAAAAGAAAAGGTTTAATAGGCGTTGGATAGATGGTGAGGAAGGACATTAATGGAGCATTAAAATAGCCAAGAAAAATCCTAATCAAGATTCTATGAAAAATCCTAATCAAGATTCTATCTCAATAATGACTAGTTCATGTTGATTTTCACCAATTCAATTTATTTTCCTTCTTTGACCCAAAAAAATTCCTTCATCTCGTTTCATATATTCAATTGATTAGATTGCTAAAGCCCAAAGAAAAAAAGTCCTACTATAAAATTGGTTTGCCTAGCCCCGCAAGCCTTCCGAGAGTTTTTATGTTTCAGAAGTATTTTTGTGTATTTTTCATTTTTGTCTAAATGAAATGAAAGAAACTCTTTACCAACCCAAAATAGATATAAACAATATATATATTTTGCTTCCTCTCACATGTGATACGATTTATATATCATACTCAACAGGTATCAAAAACAAAAACAAAAAGCGAGGGAGAGACCATCCAAATTGTTTGGTTATATAATCCTTGTGTTTATTAAATAGGTGATATAATAAGCATGCCATCAGCTGGTGTTCTCTCCGAGAGTAAAGATGAAGCTTCTTCTTCTTCAACTATAACCACGAGAAAGATGAACTAGTAGGGTGCATGAGAGTGACTCTTCATCTTCTTTTAAATTCTTGAAATTAGGAGAGCAATCCACCTCAAATCTTCCATTCTCCCAACGACCGTCATTGGTCACAAACAGCGATATGGATCGTGTCAACGGAGTAACTCGAGCTCTTATTTAGTGTTGGTTGCGTTCAGCAGGTTTATGATTTTCAATGTCTTGAGAATGAGCCAAGCATGAGCATGACAAGACATCTAAACATGCACCTTTTCTTATCATTTTCAAAGAGGAAAGGGGAGCAGATGTCCCAGTTGTGAACAGACCCAAAATTTTCAGAGCAATATCATGCACTGATCATCCAAACTTAATCAAGAGAAATGTGTGACAGCGGATCTTAAGTTACATGAACACTACAAAAAGCAAACAAAACTTTAAGGGACATCAACAGCCCTAAACAGCAGTTATTTCAACTCTAACGCTTCACCGGAATCCAAAACGTGATATTTGTATCATGATGATCATTAGTATACATTAGAACTCCTTTAGTAAGCTTCATTCAGTATGTTCTTCGATCAAATGGCAAAAAGCCACCAGCTGTGCTTCCTCCGCTCCCAAATTCCCAAACCAAGTTGGACAGCTTTACTGCAGGTAGCGAATCAAGCTGGTTTCAACGAGTGCTTTGCCTCTGCCAACTGCTAATACTCCTACTTTCCTCTTTTCTTGTTTGCAGCATTCTTTTTCCTCCATGCGTCTCTCTTCTCCTCCCTTCAGGAAACCGAAGCACGCAAAACAATTATGTAGTAGAAGACTCGGCATAAACAAGAGAATATACATGTTCAATCAAGATCAACAGACTACAAAAATTTTGTTATATGCAATCACAACTGTCTATATATTCAGTGGAGAAAAATTCACGATCAAGCTAATAGCATATGCAAAATTCGACTTCTCCACATGAATAAGTTTGAATAGACAAAAGGCTCGAGACTGTTTTTACCTCATTTTAGATATTTCCTCTCTGGATGGGAATTTCCTTTTAGTTCTTTTCTCTCTGCACGAGACCAAAGCAAGCAAATATGAGTCTGTGGATGACTTGACATGAGCAAGAAAATTCATGATTCAAATTGACTACAAGCATTTCAATAAATCTAGTTATATCTGTCTATGAGTTCAGTGGAGAAAACATGCAAACAAGCTGGTGGCAGCTGTAAAGTCAACTCCTTCACATAAAAAAATACAAACATGCAAAGAACAGAGAATGCTTTCACCTTGTTTTGGACATTTCGTCTCTGGAAGGCCATTTCCCTTTGATCTTCTTAGAGCTGGACGGCGATTTTCTTTTCTTATTTTCAACATGACCATTATCCACAACACCTTTATTTCCCACAGCTTCTGTCTGATTCTGAGGTTCCTCGACTGTATCCTTTTTGCGGCTATCTTCCTCAGGCCCTGAAACTTGTTCCACTGTTTCTGATGGTTCGGTAGATACTGAAGTTGGCTTTGAATTGCTCATTTTCTTCAGCTGTCATGAAGAGAGACGAAGAATACACAAATTGTACTGTTCAATTACAGGAAAGGTAAACGCAAATAACACATGATATTATACAAAGATACAGAGCATCTTATATGCGGACCAACTTTCAGTCAAATACTCTGAACAACAAAAAATCTACTCATCCTATTCAAGATCCTAATTGAGTAAAGCTAATCAAATGACACTTTAACTAAGATAACCACAAGAAATGTACAAACACGTACCTTTGCCACAAAAAATCCGTCCATATTATGAACATGAGGGTAGAAACGCCTTGTCTTCTCCAGAGAAGGGTGAAACCGATGCTCCCTAAAACGGATAAACCTGGTGCAAGTGCGAGCATAATGAATGATTCCATTTAATGAATTGGTTACAACCAAGACCAAAAAAGCATACCCGGGACGCCCGAAGTCCAATCCACAAGGTACAAGTTTAACATCCCTCCTCTTCAAAGCATAGTCAATCACTGCTTCATTCTGCAAAATAGAAGCTATATAACATCCAAAAGGAGGCAAAATAACGTGAATATGTCTAAGAATAATACCTCCGGAATCATGATAGAGCATGTGGAGTATACTATATAACCTCCAGACTTTGAATTGGCATCTACCATGTCAATTGCCGCAAGTAACAATTGCTGCACAAGAGTAGATTAACCACATGAAAGAAGCTTTAACCAGTAGAGCCCTGTAAAGCTTTTTTCAATAAGTGATAATTTAGGTAGGTAAGGAAATCATAAGCTATAAAGCGACAAAGAAGACATGCTTGTCGCAAGCTTTCAGGTATTTTTCCTGGTATTTCATGAACTTCTACAAACAATCAGATGTATGCAACGAGATCAACTTTGACTAGTGAAATATTTGGGCGTCCTAATCCAAATGTGAATCAACTGAAACAACAATTAGATATGCCTAGAAGAAGTCATACCTTCTGCAGAAATGCGCACTTTTGTATATCTTCAAGGCTTTTGGAGGTTTTGACAGATTCGTCTTTCGATATGACCTTCAAAGTGTTAATAACACATTAGCTTAACAGAGCCATGAAACTAAAACATGGCCAATGAAGTGTGTACAGAAGAAGTGCAATCTAAGTATGATTTCTTACCCCAGTCCCACTGCAAGGTGCATCTAACAATACTCTATCAACTGAATTTAAACCCAAAATTTTAGGTAGCTGCAAGAGAAGATGCACAAAAATGACATCATCGTAAATTATACTGAATCAAAATACATGCTAAAGATATCTATTGTGTATAATGCATTCAGCAGAAATCTATGGAATCATGGATCCACTAGCAAAAACAACAGTATCACATTGCAACGGACATGCATATTGTAGATCTGGTCCACCTTTATATTTATGGAGAGCAGCAATTTTTTCCTCTTAACAGAAAGTCATATATAGCAGCAAAGAGTGGTCTGAGGATCAATAAAAGATTATTTATTTAAAATAAGTAGCAAAAGAAAGCCATCCAGAGTAATTAGTAACCAGATTCTTTCCTCATTTACATAAGAAAGAAACATGTCCATGTCCAAAACACGGCTCTAAAGCTTTCTTAATCTCAAGGCTCTGATAATCCATATCCATAAAATTATACTGTAATGAGGCCGGTTAGAAGACTGACCTCCTTCCCGTCATAATTGGATACTATTGTATTAGTCACACCCATCCGATGCAAATTAGCAGTAAGAGACTTCAGCCTTGGTGCCTTCATCTCATTTGCAAAAACCACACCTAGTAAAATGGTGCCGATAAATGCTGTCAGATTCACAAAATAGAGCATGCATAGATACGAAATCAAATTGCAACGAGACCAATAGTTCTTCCAACCCCTGGAAAAGGCAAAACTTCAGGCTTCCACTATCACCACTCACCAAAAAAGCCATACTTTCTTACCACCAAGACAACACAGAATGTGACGGAAGATCAAGTCAACTAATCACCAATGCCAATGGAGAATACACCAGCTCTGTTTCCTAGAGAACCAAATATCCAATTATAACTACTTCTAAGGAGGTTCATAGATATTTCTACGGAGGTCACGTACCCTAAACAGGCATTAAGGACTCGATCGCAGGAATAATTGAAAAAGAACAAAAAGTGAACCTGAAAGCAAGTGGACGGAGGATTGTGTGCTAGATGAAGATCAACTGCTTAGTTAACAATTAGGATATTTTCCTTATTACATTAGGAATCTTTCTACAAGAGTTGAAACATGTAGTTCTTATTCGAATTTGAATATAATGTTTTCAAGTTTTACTTGAATTAGGATATTGTGTTTCCTATCTTAGAGTTTCCAATATTATTTGTTTAGTTTGTTAAGTCTAATTACAGCAATTATTTAGTATTGAACAGTGAGATACAATTCTTCTCTTGGGTGAACCTTAGGAAAAGCTCAGGAAGGTTTTGGCGTCATACCTAGACTTTAACCTTTTCTTCCAAAATTTCTTTCCCAATCTTTTCTTCCTTTCTTTTTGGATCAGACTTTCCCAATCTTTTCAGTGAAAGCTTGTCTACAAACTTACATCAATTGCATCCATAACTTTCATGTGGGTACTCTTCACAGTCCAGAAGAAGTGTCTCCAGATCTAATTCTTGTCCAATCAGATTTTCATACATCACAGGTCCTCACAAAAGAAGCCCCATTCATTTGTAATAAGCTATAGAATCATATAGACACTTCTGATGCAACTTAAAACTCTATGCGCCATGCAGTTCACACAACAGGACTGATACTTTCATATCAATCATGACACCTTTAAATAAAGAATACACAGTAAGTTAGCTGACTTTATGATTTGAGATCCCATAAACAACCAAAGATAGGAATTAGGGAGAACCCATGTGGAGTTTCTTACAATTGCACTCGCCAGAAAGCACCAACTCAGTACTTCGCCATGTTATGGTAAGTTTTCATAAGATAAATGTATGTTTCCAAAGAATGTTTGATCAACGTGAAGCATATAAAACATACATGTCCAGCATATGTCTATTCACATTGATTGAATTAAAATAGAAGCCAAAACTTACCACTATTTTTCATCAGAGCTGCAATATATGTTGTTTTACCTCCGGGTGCAGCTCTGCATCATGTGAAGATTGCACTCAAATATTAACACATGTAAGCAAGATTGATTTACAAGCAAGGAATGTTATTAACCATAGACAAAGGAAAGATATAATGATATATTGTACTGAAATTCGTTAAGCAATCTACTGCGCCTCATCTTGCCTGTAGGACACACTAAAGTGATCCAACATGTGGCACCAGTTCAAAATTCCACCAATTAGGCAAACGATTGCACATTGCTACGCCTCCAATATGGAGTTATTCTCTCAATACTTTCAAAACTCAGGTTCTCAAAGAGCAATCAGAATCGAATTCGTTATTGAGACTAAAGCGAAAAGCCAGAAGCTTAGACATAGTTATATCAGGTACTTCAGAATATCTTACGCCATGTCAACAATTCGTTCTTTTTCTTGTGGAGCAAGTGCCATCACAGGCAAAAACGAACTTGCACTTTGCAGCTGCAAAATTTAAATAAGTCCTTATTGCATCACAAAGGATAATGCCAGAGAAAAACTCAAATGCAAAAACTGGAAAATGATCTACCATGTAGAATCCCGCCATATATTCAGGAGTTGCACCGATAGGCACTTGTGAATCGTAAACAACTAAGCCAACCTGAGAATCCATCAGAAAATACCGTCAAAGGATTGATAATGACATGTGATGAGAGGTACACAAAAAAACAAAATGAAAAAGATCCTGATGACTAGGTGATGCTTTACCTTCGACCACTTGCTTAATGGATCCAAGTTTACTCCTCTGTTAATTAAAACATCAGCCAGATCCCGTCTCCTTGTCTATAAGAAATGCAACAAATTTTTCATTAGAATGCAGATAATAAGAAGAGAAATATCACATAGCAAGAACACTCAAGAAAAAGAAACTACATTTTCTACCAGCAGGAATACTATCCTGACCACATCAAACGAGCAATGTTCCTCTTTTGTTTTACCTTTAAAGTATTTGTTCGTAGACATATAGGTCGAGGTTTTTCAAATGCTTCAATGAGTTCCATAAGCTCAACTGGCGGGAACATCTGCAGAGTAACAGAAACCAAAGCACAGAACACTTAGAGCGCAAAGTAGTTTTTTTTCCTTTTTACAAAGAAAAAAGAGTACTGAGATGTAAAACTGAAAAGAAAAATAGATAGGAGAGGAAATGGTATTAACATAGAAATATCATTCATGACTTCATTGTTTGTATTGATAAAGCAATTCAATCACCTCCATCAAAGTCCCAATAAGGAAGTCATTGTAACCATAATAGGAAGCTAGATCCCTTTTAAGTTGCTCAACATAGTCCTTCCTTGTTGTTCCCTCTTGCTTCAGTGCCTTAAGATTCGACAACACTCGAACAACTGACAGAAAATTCTCATGAACAAGACTTCAAAAGCCTGATAATAAGAAAAAAGTATGTAAAAGATATAATAAGCACATTACTGACTTTCTCTTATTCGCCTCTGCATATTTGGAAGATCGGGTGGCCTCAAAGCCTCTTCCTCAAGTTCCTAAATTACAAGGATTTGCATAGAGTAGGAATTAGATAATAATAAATATTGACTTACACATTCCTGCGGAAGAAATGTCACCACTATATCAAAAACATAACATAGATCAGCACAGTGGCAATGCCAATAGCACCTCACAAATTTTACGCAGGAGTCGCATAGAGAATAGAGAAGTACCTCCTTAGTTGGCAACCTGAACTCATCAGATTCCTCTTTGATGTTAAGCTGCATTTCGGCTCCTGCTTCTTCCTCTATCCTAGCCCTTTCTTCATCGATAGCTCTGGACTTCTGCTCGATATCCGACTCATCAGAATCCGAGCCAGAATCTGAGTCCTCGTCCAAACTGGAAGCTTCATCTGGTCAAGACAAATGCTTTTTAACAGCACATAATTGGGAACACTAAAGAGAAACGACACCCCATCTGAAAACACAAAGAAAGACCAAGGATTATAATCACGGAGTACACTAACCTTCATCCCCACTTCCTTGGAGGAAATCGTCGGCGAGCGGATCATCTCCATCGGAGGATACTTCGGAACCAGAATCACCACTCTCGTCTCCCTCCACCTCAAATTCTCCATGTTCTTCGACATCTTCACTCTGATCGTCCGACTCTTCGAGGACGTCATCTTTCTTCGAGCGCTTCTCGGCAAACAAATCATCCTTCAGCTTCTTCTTAGGCGGAGGCTTCGCCGCACCCGCACCTGCACCCGCACCCTTCTTCTTATTAACAGCCGGGGCACCCATCGATCTGCAAAACCATTCAAAAGCCAGGGTTTACACATAACAACGCCGGAAGAACATCTTAAACGGGAAAACAAAGATCGTACTCGAAAGCGATTTTCGCCAATCGAAGAAGAAGGGGGAGGGGAGCCTCAATGTGAATCAAAAAAGAAAAAAAGCATCTTTCGACATCAACTGAAGCCGCGAAGAGTGGAGAGACAAGCTCCCAAACTCCAAACTTCAACTCCCCCGAACCACAGAGCATCGCAAGCACAAAAGAAACGATCGAAACAGCGAGATGGTGGTTCCTTCATCGTCCGCGATCGCGTTTTTTTTTTTCTCTAACAGAACCCAAATCAGCGATCGCAAGATAGAAGGGCCGCCGATTCCTTACTCCGGCGAGAACTAAATGCCGTTCAAACGAACGCCATTGACGGTGCGAAGCTGGAGAGGGGGCGGCGAGAATACCTGAGCTGAGCTGGGCAGGGCAGAGCAGAGCAGTCGTCGGCGGCTACGAGAAGCGGCGGAGAGGGTTGGAGCTTCTCTGATGTCGCCGGCGAGCGGGTTTAGGGTTTATTGGTGAAGCGGAAAAGGGCTTAGCTCGTCCGCGGCGCAGGTATAGGAGGCATTTGGCCGAAATTCTATTTAGATAAATTAGTTTTTATTTTTTGGGGTGGTCAGATATTTAGATAATAAATTAGTTGTTTTGAGATTTTTATTTGGGAAATTTTTTTTATTCTTCCGCGCGCTATATTATCGTGTACCTTTGGGGTTCGGCAAAGTCTAGCTATCATGGTGGGACTCTTTTATTCATTTAATTTTAGTGATATTAGTATACTCTAATTCTTGCCACTTATAAAAAGTGCGATTCAGGCTCCGTTTATTCGTGAAAAATGATTAAATTGAAAAATATTTTCTCAAAATCAATAACTTGCATCGCTTACAAAAATGAATAAATAAACAATATTTTCGAAAAAGACTTAAATTATTGTCAATAATAAAAATATTTAATTATCAATATTCTTCACATTTCTAATCTTTCTCCGGTTATGATGAATTTTGCCTTTCATCTATGGTTGTTATTCGTTGTCATAATGCTTTCGCTTCTTCTTTATATATGTATAATTCTCCTTGCATTTACTACTTTCCCTAACATGATGCACCTTGGTAATGGATGCAAAATTCAGCTTAACTTGATTTTTCGGTTCCTCCCAATTAGGATTTCTCTTTCGAATTTTTATAAGCAACTAATTCGAAAGATGTCATGTCACCTAACTCCATTATAAACCCCAACAAGAATACTACAAAGTAGAGGCATTTTTTTGAAAGATGTCATGTCACGTAATTCCGGTACAGAAATAGAAATGCACAAGTAAATTGCGAGGATTATTTCCTGAACAGCGAAAGCTGAAGCCTTATTTCGGGAAATAATTCTATTTATATTTTTGCTTAACAACTCACAATTTCCTTTTGAAATAAGAAATTCTCTAGTTTTTTTTTTGTTTTTTCATGACACGAGCGATTTTTCTTTTTAGGGAAATTAGTTGAGAAATAGGGCAAGCACCAAAGCCCAAAACTTGAGATCTATAGTGTTTGTTTCTCGTTGATTAGTTCCACGATGACTTTCTTGATCGCCTTTTCTTTTCCTTTTGATCACGAAACCGAGAGAGAAAGATGAATGGGAACACGGGGGAATATTTTTGGGGTCTATCCGTTACCAAAATATGTTTTTAGAAAATTATGTGAAACTTCGGGCCTGACCCGAACCAGACCGAATTGGCTCGGTTCTCGCCAAAATGCTCAGCTCCGGTCCGGGGGCTAGAGATAACGGGCACAAAGCCTTCGGGCCGGTCTTATATTTTGCCAAAAAAATTGGCCCGCCCGACCCATTATCATCCTTAATAAGTACGACTGCAGAAGATTCCGGGGATCATTGCTGCTGAAAATTCGAAGTACCGACTTTATTATGCGACACAAACATCGGATATTGGTGCAGTCACTAGCAAGCGTAATGCCTGAAGAGAAGTTTTGTTTAAGGAGTTGAAGATAGTTAAAGAGAGAGCCAGCAGCTCCGCTTTAGGACAAGCTCAAATTGTAACGTATCATCGCATAACAGGTATGAAAGCTTCCCAAGAGTCCTATTGACGCTAGAAATAAGCCTATCACCCGTAAGTTATAAGAATGCGGGTCATTGAGAGGATTTATAAACAAGGGAATGGAATATAGCTAACTACACTAGGTTGCTCTGTCCAAAGATCCAGGAAATATCGGAGCTTCATGTTTTTTACAAGCCTAGAATAGAAGCTGTCTGAAACTAGACTAGAAGGAGCATCCAAAGGTGAAGAGACTTCTTGCAAGACTAAGTTGCACGTGATTAAAAAGAAATATTTCTCAATTCAAAAATTGGAGAAGTGAAACTGGTTTTGTAGGATCTCGGGTTTCCAAATTACTAAAAGACCGAAACAAGCAAACACCGTCGCTTTCATTTTTTTTTCAGACCTGAATAAGAAGGGAAAAGAAAAAGAAAATTTAAGCCAATTCGTGTCTTAAAGATTTTCAAAAAGATAAAAAAAAAAGAGTGATATGGGCTCGGCAATAGACAGATATTTTCTTATTGAAAACAATGCAATAAAATTGCTTTTGCATTGTAGAAATATTAAAAAGGGGACTGGTATTTGAAAACTGGCAATGAAAATGCAAACCAAAAATATAAAAAATTCAAAATATTTTCTAGAATCAGACGCATCCATGGTGGAGCTTAGCTCAAACTGTAAGTTAGAAATGACATGTAGCCCTAATATTTTAAACTTCCGGAGGAGCTAAAAGGAAACCTTATAAGCCAAAGCTCAATATAGGCTACTGGCTACTGCAATCTCTCTTCTGCGTCTTTCATTCACAATGTGCACAGATCAAATGCTTAGTTGGTTCTGCAGTCTTAAGGGTCGGATCAGATCCCCTTTTACCGATCGGGCTTCTCCCTCCAATGAACTCACTTTCACTTTCATCCTGCTCCTTGTAAATGACTACTCTATGGAAAAGAAAAAAAACTGTCTTTTGCGTCCACCACCACACTATATCGTATTCATCCAATAACATCAGAGTCTCAGGCATACCCATCAGCCATACATTATGCCAGGAAAAATTAGCAAAAACCAGCACAAGCCATTTTACCAATAACAACTTCATACTCTACCGATGATGAACCATGCGTTGGAGTTATATAAGAAACAAATACTTGTCATCTCTTGGACAAACCTAAAATGGGGAAGGGAAGTGACAACAAAAATGGGGACGGGATATAATGGATTCTCTTACTAATTCTAGAAAGAGGGTTTTTGATTTGCAAAAGAAAGGGCACTCGGTGAAGCTAGATCTTCTCTTGTGCTCCTCCATGCGGACAGCAGAGGTGAACCCTGGCGCCAACTAGTGGACAGTGAAAGCCCAGAAATCCCAAATGGTCACTTGAACAGATCTGGATTCAGCCAGTCCCTGCATCAAGAAAAGTTGCAACCACGAATTCCATCATACGTCAAAACTAAGGAGTTTTTCTTTTGGCCCCAAATCTACCATGAAGTTGAAGAACAGTAGGGGGAGAAAATGTGAAAATGGGGCTTACTTGCTTATGTCATCAAGATGGTCATCAAAGTCGACAACATCTTGCCATTTTCCAGATGACATGTAATCCAACAGGACCACATTTGCAGATGGCTCCTTGGTAATTAACCGGTTACTTCCATCTGATGAGACTAACTTCCAGTTCTTAGATGAATCCCGTGTGTAAAGCTGATATGACAGGCGAAAAGTTAATTTGAAATTTTGAATATGCTAAGTTGAAGAAGCAGAATAGCTTGTGTTGATGTTATACCCATACTGACCAATTAATTTTCAGCATACACAAAGCTTCATTATATCCGCAACAAATGGGAGAAACAGACAATGACCAAAAAGGCAAAGAGAGGAAAAAATTGCGTCAGACACCAGTCCAACAACTCTATTATCTCCTCTCTATGAGAGGTCGGAACAATACTTTTCAATTGGATGACATCAACATTAACACTGCTAAAGCACAAACTGATACACAGAGCCGCAAACAAATTCCATATAGATTGACTAAATGAAAACTACTGATGCTTCTGCACAAAAACAAAAAAAGACTACCCTCTCTACCAATTTCATACATGCAATGGACTATGCAGTTTTATACAAAGGCATGAAGAGAGTAGCGGAGTAGAAGGAAAAGGCAGTGAAATACTGGAAGCCGGAAACTCGGGAAAAGCATGTGTTATTTATTGCTTTTGGCTTTGAAGAAAATGAAAGAGGAAGTGTCAAAAGAACTGCGGTCAGAAGAGTCAGAACTACCACCTCAAAGATTGTCCAATTAACCTAGAGATAATTCTGTCTCTGAATCTTAACATACTGATGAAACGAGGATTTCACATTCCTTTATCACAACAAATGAAACCTTGCAGAGAATAAACTCGACTCGAGTTAAACAAACACACCAGACACCTTCTCTCATATCGTGAATGGTCCAATGACAACCAGTTGAAGACTGACAAGAAGGGCAGCAAAGATGGAGAGGGAAAGACAAATATCACATCTTAAATGAAGACCCAAAATCTCTCAAATTCGCCACGTGAATCTTCTATGCAGAGGAAAACACCGCTAACCTGCATGACAGGAGACCGATCCTTCCCGTTCGACAAAGCCACGAGCTTCTTATTATCTAACTGCAAAAATCAACCGAACACATTACAAACAACCTGCGAAAATACCATCATCGGCCAAATGCACAGCAATGGTACCTACCAGAAGTACTGCGGCCGGCGGAAAGTAACGAAAGATGTGGTCTCCAATATTTCTAGCAATGCCACCAAGCTCGGAATCATCGTACCTCTCGTTCGCATGAAAGTACCCCACTATGCTCATCCCTTTCGATCCATAATACTCCTCTATCTGGATATGTTCAAGCAATCGAATCAAACAACCACTTAATAATTCAACTCAAAACTTCCCGAATTCCACGATTTACTCACAAGAATTTGGAATGACACTTCAACTAATCAATTTCCAATCCCAATCGATCAATTCCAAACGAGGAAACGCCGCAGATCCCGATTTAGGGTCACTATTTCTGAACGAATCGAACGCCCACAGAATTGCGAGAGAATAATCTCGCCAGCGGATACTACAACCCAACCATCTTACAATTTTCAAAGACCCAATTCACCCATCACCCGATCGTTTTCTCGTGCGATCAAACCTAGACGTGACAACCACTTCGAATTCGACCAAGCCGGAAAAGAGAGGGAGAGCTTTACCAGGAGGAGGGAGATCTCGAGATTGGGGAGGAGGCCGAGGCGGGAGTGGAAGAGGGGGACGGCGTCGAGGACCTCGACGGCCTCGCCCCGATCGGAGTGGCGGCCGAGGAGGACGCCGTTGACGGCGGCGGTCTTGTGCTTCAGGGCGTGGAGGACGAGCTTTATGTAGGCGTTCTGAGCGATCTCGTACCGCAGCTCGCCGCTTGCCATGGCTCCGACGATCGACGTCGCCGGCGAGAGAGGCGAGGGGAGAGAGAGAGAGAAGGGCGGTGGATGATGGAAGCGACGCACAGTGGAGAAAGCCGAAGTCAAGCCTAACTAGCAAGCAGCGAGCACGACAACTTTTTCCTTCGTTTTTTCTTTTTGGAAAATGACATTTTTTTTTTGGTCAAAGGAAAATGACATTTGAAATGGTGTCTAACTTTAGTTCAATATTTAATGTAGTCTTTAAATTTTTAATTTATTTAATATGGTCACTGAACATCAGCCCAATGTATATGTGGTTCATGAACTTTTAATTTGTTCAATATGAACCCTGAAATTTTAGTACATGTTCAATTTATTTCTTGGACTATATATAAAATTATAAATATTCAATGATGTCCCTGATCTTGAATTAATTGAAGCACTATATTAAACATGTACCAAAAATTTAATGACTATATTGAACACATTGCATATTGAGTCAAATTTCAGGAATTATTTGTATCATTGTCCTTTTTTCAGTTATTATTGTTCTTTTTCTTTTTGTCTATTTGGGATTCTTTTCTCCTTCTTTCTTTTTTATTTTTAAATTTTTTCCGAATTTCGAGATTAATTTTCGAGCATGTTTAGATAGGCTTTTATTTTATTACATTTTATTATAATCTAAATTCCTACGGCAAATGAATTTTAAAATTCCTTTTGAACCAAATCACTCGATATTTTTATGATATACAAATATTGATGCTTAAATTTATATATGATTTCTCATAATTCTAAAACTTTGATAATATTATAAATTTCGGCGAAAAAATAAAAAAAATACAATATTTTAGCTTTTGCATAAGTATAAATAAGGATTAATATCACGAAAAATCCCAAACTAGTACATATATGACAATTTTATCCTAAATTAAATTTTTGATCACAAAAAACCCTAAACTGGTACGTCCGTAACAAATTTACCCTCCGTTAGTTTTCGTTAAATTTACTGTCAAATTTGTTAGTTGAATGACATATGGCAGTTGACGGATGTATCGGTTTGGGGTTTTACCCTCCGTTTGTCACAGGTTTTTTTTTTTTCCGTCAAACGTTTGTCACAAGTTTAGCAACTTGTGATTTTTCGTGGTATTAATTCAATTTAATGGAGGGTAAATTTATCATAAATGTACCGATTTGGGATTTTAAGTGGTCAAAAAATTAGTTTTGGGTAAATTTGTCACACGTGTATTAGTTTAGGATTTTTCATGATATTAATCTTCTAAATAAATTGGGTTGATCATGAATGTGGTCACTATTTGTCATAATGTGTTGGCTAGAATCCCTTGTTAGTTGTTGTGAATAACTGATTTTCCACCTTAAAATTCTTTACAGCATAAACAATAATGCGTACATATTCATGGATATGTACAAAAATTATAAAATACGGATAGGCCATACTATATTAAAATAATATGATAGACCATGTAATTAATCATGAAATTACGATTTATTCAGCTAAAATGTGCATGTGCTCAGTAAACAAGCTTTTAACTCGAATGTAATTGATAAAAATTGCCCTATATCTGATTTGAGTGACTCTACCTTTACTTTTTACCTTTTTCAAATCATTTTTGCAATATAATTCTTATTTATTATGAAATCTACTAAACCATTCAAAATTATACAGAGAAGTGAATAATGACATGTAAAATCTTAAATTTTTTTTTTATATTTCTCAAGTTTGAATAATATCTATTTTGTGACGGAAAACCTAGTAAGGGTGCGTATGGCAACGATTCTATGTCCGGAAATTGATTCTGCTCAGAAATGATTCTTTTTTATTCTGTGCCAGGGAATAATTTCTAAACATTTGAAGGCGTTTAGTAACTGCCCAAAATTTCTATTCTTAGAATAGAAAAAGAACAAAAATGCTTTTGGTAATTACATAAAATTTCTTTTTATTAATAATATTTTGAAATTTTTAATATATATATATATTTTTTTTTTTCTTCCTTTCCTTGGCCATGGTCGGTCGCCGGCACCGGCGACCAGCCACAGGCCAGGGCCGGCGAGGGCGTCACGGCCCTCGTCGTCGCCACCCCCGGCGACGGCGAGGTCGGCCTCGCCCGGCCATGGCGAGGCCGACCTCGCCGTCGCCGGGGGCAGCGAGGGCCACCCTCGTCGGCCCTGGCCGGTGGCAGACCGGGAAGAAGATGAAGAACAAATAAAAAAGGAAGAAGAAAATCAAGAAGAATCAGAAATGAAAAAATTGTTCCAGAATTAAGATGCTACTTTTTTTGTAACTCTTGATTCTGTTCCAAAACTAATTCAAACAATTTTTTGCAAATTTGTGCCTAAGCACAAAAAATGTAACAAATGGATTTATGTTCCCAAACTGATTCTGGGAACAAAAGAACAGAAATTTTTACTATTTGGCAACTTGCCAAACGCCCCTAAGTGACTTTTTTTTTGCTAGAAATAGTAAGTGACTCTTTCTTAAACAAAAGAAACTAAACCAGCAAGCCCTTGTTGCTGTATTGAAAAAAATCAATGAAGATGTATGATACGAGATCCAATTCATATTAGAAAGATTTCATTACTGTTGGAAACGGATTTCCAATACCATACACGAGAAAACGCAGAAAACGTCCCTAAAATTACTTGAATCACTTATCGAAAGGTACATCACGCAACGGAACATACCTAACTTTCCATAGATCAAACGCACGTTTGCAACTTTAAGAGAGTTCTGGTTTCCGTTCTTCAAGCATATGAGAGAATGACTGAGAGCGAGAGCGAGAGGAACCTATTCTTTTCTCTTGAGAAGTGAAATGTGAATGATGTATGCACGCCCTCAAGAGTTGCATCACGTTATATAAAAAGTAAATGACTGCCAGGCAGTTATATTTTTTATAGGTAACTGCCTTTGGTGGTTACCTATTCAAATTGTGGGCTAGGTTAGCCCACATGGGCGGGCGGCCTACCCATTTAACCATCATCTCCCACTCACCCTTGATAGGCTCTCTCTCTTCTCTGCAAGGTTCATACCAATAAATAATATGTGCGAACATCATACTTTAAGGGCCCGTTTGGTAACGTGCCAAATAGTGAAAATTTCTGTTCTTTTATTCCCAGAAATAGTTTGGGAACAGAAATGCGTTTGGTAAACTTTTTGTTCCTCGGCACATTTTTGCAAAAATTTGTGCCGAGAAACAGTTTTGGAAGAGAAACAAGAAGTAAAAAAAAGTTGCTTCTTGTTTCTCGGCACAATTTTGAGAATCAGTTTTTTTTCTTTTTTTTCATTTCTTATTTTGTGTGTTGTTCTTCCTAGCTGAGCCGGCCGCCAGTCTCCGGCGGCCGGCGATCGGCTCTGACCCGGGGCCGGCGAGGGCGTCACGGCCCTCGCCGGCCGCCGGCGGAGGCGAGGGTCGCCCTCGCCGGCGAGGGCGAGGGCGGACCCTCGCCGCGCTGGGCGAGCGGCCTCGCCCGGATCGAGCGAGGCCGAGCCTCACCGTCCGTCGCGACGGCGAGGTCGGCCTCGCCCGGAGACGGCGAGGCTCGGCCTCGCCCGGATCTGGCGAGGCCGAGCCTCGCCGTCGCGACCCACGGCGGCCGACCTCGCCGTGGGTCGCGACGGCGAGGCTCGACCTTGCCGTGGGTCGCGACGGCGAGGCTCGGCCTCGCCAGGATCGGGCGAGGCCGAGCCTCGCGTCTCGGGCGAGGCCGCCTCGCCCGGCGGCGAGGGTCCGCCCTCGCCCTCGCCGCGAGGGCGACCCTCGCCTCCGCCGGCCGCCGGCGAGGTCCGTGATGCCCTCGCCGGCCCTGGGCTGTGGCCGGGCGCCGGCGACCGGCCATGGCCAAAGAAGAAAGTAGAAAAAAAAATTAAACAATTCAAAATATTATTTGGGAACAGAAATTTTGTGTAGTTACCAAACACATTTCTGTTCTTTTCTACTCTAGAAATAGAAATTTTGGACATTTATCAAACGCCTTTAAATACTCAGAAATTGTTTCCGGGCGCAGAATCAAAAAAAATCATTTCTGTTCAGAAATAACGCCCGGGCACAGAATGGTATTCATGCGCACCCTAAGAGCTCATTGCCATACATCTATTAGGAATACATAGCAGCTCAAATTAAGCTGAACAATTTAGAGTAGATCTAGTATACAATACCCTAGATCAATCGATCACATTTATATCTCTTTTGATCTCTTTAAGTATGATATATTGTATTTACAATTATGATTAACTCAAAATAATCATAACTGGTCGACCTGTGAATACAATACTAGAATGCGACGAAAAAAAAATCGATCTTTCTCCTTCCTTAAAACTCTCGATTGTAGTTCAATTTGTTTTTCTAAAAATGTCCCGTTAGATCGAATCAATTTATGATCACTGGTAACATTCTAAGATAACAAATATTGAATAGAAATTTTGAAAATAAGTAAGAGTAGTGTGGAGCTTAATTAAGAAACTCTTATCCTCAATAGTCTCACACGGCTTAAAAGTTGAGATTAAAACTTTTACCAACTCTTATTGATCATCACATGGATACGCATTATGAAATATTAACTCCTTTCCCATAGACCGTATGTCTTTGTATTAAATACCGTACAGATGACAGTTTAGATATTCTCAATGTTTAATTTGAGTTCACAAATCTACTCTATTTAAAGAATCTATCAAAACTCACGTCTGGCATCAAAGACGGATAAAGTAAAATATGTTGGTTATTTTACTATTGCACATAATAAATATTATGACCTCGTCTTAACAATTTGTAGAGACGATATATATATTTTAAGTTTGAGCTCTCAATTATCACTAAGATAATAAGCTTAAAATTATCTCATCTCTATTTATCACACAGTAAATAAAGGTAAATACCCGTGTGAGTGGACTAATCTCTTATCTATTTGACATACTTTCTTAATATAATGCACTAAGCATTAAGATGCATAAATGTCAGATAAACTCATAACAGAAAACTTCATTAATGGTGAACACTTAGGAAAATTACAATATTCAGTACAGCAACCTCTACGCAGTCCTATGGAAATCATATCTAGGAATTGGCTTTCATCATAGGATCTGCTATCATTCTATGCTAGACATGTACTGCAAATTCACATCTCTTCG